CTTGTTAATCTGACATAGGGGCTTATGCGTTGGTCTTTAATCAGTGTGTCTTTGACATTAATTAATTTATAGGGAAACTGAACTTATTTTATCTCTCAAAATTGGCCCTTACAATCTCACATATTCACCTCTTCTGTGATAGTCCCTGGGCCTTGAGGAGTTGAATAATTTTATTTTCTGGCCCTATGACTCAGGAATGTAGTTTATTTTAATTGGCATCTTCTACTGGGCCTGAAGATGAGGCTTTAATTGTTCTCAGTGTTTAAAATTTAGCAGGGCTTGGTGTCCTTTTTAGTACCAGGAGTCGAAGTCCTGTAACTCAATGTCACAAGTACTTTAAAAGTACATACAGAAAAATATATGGATGTAATAACCTTAATTTTAAAAACAAATTTTATCTCAGTTTTTTCCCTAAGCAAACCAAAACTTAATAATAATGGCATAGGAATTGTTTCAATAAAATGTAAAATCTGTTAGACCAGTTACCAAAAGGTAAAAGAAAAGACCTTCTATACTGTACAGAATATTATGTTGGAAGAAGACATTCCTTTAGACCTTCAAGAAAACATTGTTAGTATTGATCCACAATAAACAGAACTCAAGGAAAAATGATTTACGAGCTGAAAATGAGTTGAAGAGGAGTATACTATTTTGTGTCCTTTAAAAGGAGAAAGAAAACTGAAAACGGTGAGATGCAATAAAAGTTGAACTTTGGGCTAAAAAAAGTTAAAATCTCTTATAATTTATTAAGAGTAAGTCAATCCCTTAAGAAAATGTCATTGTTCTAACCAATTATTTAGTGTAGAAGTGTTTTTAAATGTCAAGCCCAATTTCTAGAAAGATGATTATACTTTAATAGACAACTGGATCATATAAAACTTTTTTTAAACACTGAATTTTCTTATTGTGACTTACACAGACTGTTCATGACATATTTGGACTTTCTGGCTTGTCCTGAACATCCCTCTTTCTTAAACAATCAGTCATTTTACTTTAGGACTAAATCTACCATACAAGACTCTTTCTCATATAAAATTATTTCTCTTTATGCTTTCTTACCAAAAAAAAAAAAAAAAAAACCTCTTTACTTTTATAGCTTTCTTCACATCTTTCTTATTTCTTGGTTTCTTTTATCTTGTTTTATACATAACCTTTAAATACATTTTAAATTAGACAGAAGTCATTTACCTAGATTATTTATAAAAACTGTGATAGTCGTCATTTAAAGTTATGGAACCATCATTGTAAAATTATAACTGAGACAGTGAAAAAGATCTGACATAACTGACTTGATCTCGTTTTTAACTTCCAAGTTGTCCTTGTTCATTTTGGGGTGTAGGCTGAAATAACTTTGGGAGGAATTTATAGTTTAGCTTTGAAACAAAGATGATAACAATCCCTTCCCCAAACAAACCTTACTGCCTGTAGACTAGACCATCGAAAGTCGCAAGATTAGGAGTTATGATAATCTTACTAAATTTAAGATATAGTTTTTTATTAAATGAATATCAATATCTTATTAAAGATTACACAAGTTGGCCAGGCGTGGTGGCTCACGTCTGTAATCCCAGCACTTTGGGAGGCCAAGGCAGGCAGATCACGAGGTCAGGAGATTGAGACCATCCTCGATAACATAGTGAAACCCCGTCTTTACTAAAAATACAAAAAATTAGCCAGGCGTGGTGGTGGGTGCCTGTAGTCCCAGCTACTTGGGAGGCTGAGGCAGGAGAATGGTGTGAACCTGGGAGGTGGAGCTTGCAGTGAGCCAAGATTGCGCCACTGCACTCCATCCTGGGCGACAGAGCGAGACTCCATCTCAAAAAAAAAAAAAAAAAATTACACAAGCAAAGATAATCCTGTTTTTGGGCTGTGTTTATAGTTTTGTAAGCCCTATACCAAATTTTGACACCTTTATAGTATTTGGCAGGGATAAGAATGAAATTGTTTAATAAATGCAAACAACGATGTATGTTGGCAGTTATTAAGATATTTCTAATATTACTTTACCAACAATGTTAAAGTTAATTTATTAAAGATTTTACTTGTTATATAAACTTGAAAGAGCATTTGACTAGTCTTTTCTTTTTTCCTGATAAAGTATTTGATTCAAGTGTTTTATATTCTTAAGCCAATTGGAGTTCTTTTATATATTTTCAGTAGTGAAATATTATATATACAACACATAAATACATAGATGTATTAGGCATGCCAATAGAAGTACTTCCTATCAATTCATAAAAAACTTTTTTTTCCTATCTTAGACTTTCAAATTCTTGACAACCTGTTTTATTATCTTAGGCACTTGTCAGTTAAATAGTCTTAAACTTGTATGTTAAAGGAAACAACTCCGGTAAAAATCTAATAGCAAAGTTTACATTGTAAGTTACAGAGAGTAAAAGTCTGTGTTAGAGGGACATTAAAATGGATTTAATTGTCATTTGAACATAAAATTATAGAAATTATAAAGTCCTTTTAAATACACACACACGCACCCTATAGTTTTTACTTCAGAACTTTAGCCATGAGATAAATACAAATTCACCAGCTTGCAAAATGAACATGTTGGATCTAAACAGTGGTTTTTATCTGAAGAGAAAAATAATAGCCGATTTAAAGCAGGCAGAAAAGAAAAATAGAGAAAAAGAATTTAGGAACTCCATAGTTTACAGGTAACATTAGGGCTCTTTTTCTTTAATGTAAATGTGTACAAAGACCATATTCCATTTTACATAAACTCTGGCAAGTAGAGGTGTCATAAAACTTACGGAGTGTTCAAAAGGGGGTCATTCTTGTTTTCTCCTCATTCTTAGATTATTTCTCACTTTTTTTTCTGAAGAGGGGGAACTGAGCTGTGGCCTCAGGTTTTTTGTGTGGTGGGTTGATGCGTGCTGCTTGTGGCCACACTCCACAATGTGTCACCACTAGGTTGTTGTACCCTCTTACATGTCTGTTTCTCTCTCCAGAGGTCTAAGACTTCTGAGAGGGTTCAAAATGCCGGGTGTTCAGTCTTTATACATGTTTCCTGGATGAGTCTTTTTTAAAATTAATTTTTGTTGGAGATTTCCCTGTGGGGTTGTTGTATGTCATGGGGGTCAACCCCCAGACACTCCCACAAGGCCTCTGGTCACCCAGGGGTGCCTTTCAGCCAGGAGGAGAAAATGCCCTTTCTCTTCAGAGCTGAGAAAACTCAGTTTTTCATTTATCTATGAAAACAACAGTTCAGTTCCTCATGTAAATGTACACAGACAAGCCGAATCGAGATAAATTTTGGGAGACAAAGTAATAGACAAGACCTCTTAGAATGCATCTCCGAACTAGAATTAGGATCCTTACACAACAACTTCCTAGGAGAGAAAAAAATAAACAATAGCCAAGGGCATTTCCTGTAAACTGTGTTCAACTACCCCTACTTTGTAGTTCTCATCCTCCATTACACACATCAAGGTCAAATCCTCTAACAGTACAAGATAATGTCTGGTACCCCCAAAGCCAAAGAGGTCAGGTCATGTAATACAGAAAAACATACTCAGACCTAAGAAAAATCTGCCTATGACTCTTGAAACTCAACAAAGAAAACAGAACACCCCAAAAGGGGTGACTGGCACCTTTGTTCTGAATTCTTTTAAAGGGTTCAAGTCATTAGAAGCCTTCTCTAGATTTTTTTGGTACTGTAGATGGCAAAGGGGCAAGGAGGTATAGGGTGGAAGAAAAGTTTCATTTACTTTTCTTTATTTTTTTTAAGACAGGAAGTAAACACTGAAACCAAACACATTTTTTAAACTCTTTTATAGTTGTGAGGAATTTTAGTCAAATTAGAGAGGTTTTGTTACCCATAATTTGGAATTTTCACTTGGATTTAATCAAGTCAGGTAAAGCTGGTCAAATCTGATGGGAGAAAGACTGAAACAAACAACAACGAAAACCCAACAATATGATCATTCAGTGTTCTAATGGCAAGAAAAAATTCAGACCACCTGGTGGTTAAACTTTAGCCAAGACAAAACTCCAGTTCAGTTATTTACCTAGGGATGGGTCTGAGACTGAAGACTGCTTTCTACCATCCTAGAAGCAGGAACAAAAGCCTCCAACTCCTCTTCCCTGCTGAGAGTGAGCTCAAACTCCATTAAAGGAGTTACCTGCCTTCCATTGTCCTGTAAACAGGAAATCTTGCCTTCCTTGTTGGAAGCAAGTAAAACTCCAAAAAAAAAAAAAAAAAAACAGCAAAATAAACTTTAGATCTTGACCAAATTTTTGGAGATGAGGAATTCTCTGGGGGGGGTGCTCGAAGACGTCAGTAAATTGTCCTGTTGGTTTGAGCCATAAAGTTAGCTCATACTGGTACCAAGCA